TATTTATATATTTATATATATTTTTATATATATATAATGAACACTGTTTGGAATATTGTTATTCCTGTTTTCGTAGGATGTGGTGAATAGTCATCCCGGCCTATCATTTTTAAAAGAAGCATCTGAATTTCATTCTCGGTACATTACCACAGTAAGTGATTTTTATTTGGAAAAGCCATTTTTTGTTAACTAAGTAGGAAAGTCAAAATGATTAAGATTAGTCAATATGTATAAGCATCTTTGTCCCTTGAGAAGAGTGGAGTATGCTGTCAGTCTTCATTTTTACATAACTAGAAATCTTGTGAAGAAAGACTCAATTTCTTAAGCATCATAGTTTTTCTTAACATTTACAAGAAATTCCTGAATTTAATAGTAATAAGAGAAACACTGAATTGTAATAGTGTAGGATAAGTTAATGAACATTAAACAAAGAGCAGGGTGTTATCTTAAACACTTGATTGTGGCTATAGACTGTACTCATTAGAATCTTGACCTTACTCTGGATTTAATGAAATGGAATTTTGAATGAAAGGTCTATATTAACATGATTATGTTCAGTATTAAGTAAAATAATGGTAATATTGAAGCTGCTTGCCACTTTCCTCTCTGGGGATTTTTCTTTCTAAGCAGGTTTTATACATTAAAAGTTCCATTTCTCTTTTCCTAGGGTTATGACTGAAGTATCCTTTCTGTACCCAAGGGAAAAATCAGTGACACTAAATTTTCTGAACTGTAGACTAGACAGCCAATTCCACTGAAGTCTCAAAAGACTAAAATTCTTCAAAAAGACATTCAGTTCACTGTCTTTATGTGTGTGAAAAATAGCTTAATGAATATTCTCCAACAAAAAACATGCAGAGTTTATCATCTTTTATCCATCTTTTAGTTTGACCCAGACCAAAACTGTGGAAGCTTTTTTTGAAAGCGTTTGGTTTTGGTTCCTCATATCCTCCTTATACAGACTGCCAGCCTATCAAATACGTCCTGCTGCATTAGGTTTTGCTTCTTGTTATAATGATTCTATGAGCTCCCAGAACTTTCTTGTCAGATGCGACTAAAGGAAATGTTTTGCCTGTGAGTAGTTTTCTTTCTTAATGGATTCTGCTTACAATTGTGAAAGCTTGCTGTCTGTCCTGAAAGACTGTAGGAGGGAAAAGGTCCTGCCATTTCCAGTTACTTCTCTTTGGAGGAACAGGTTATTTGAGTAGGCCTGAGTCTAGCAATACTGAACAAATTAGTGCTGGCAGTACTTCACTAACCAAATTTAGTGTAGTCTCCAACAGAAATCAGTTGTTTATAAAAAATCCCAAAAGTAAACTAGTATTGCTATGAATATAGCAACAATATTTGGAATACTATTTTGCAGGTAACTGTTGCCCTATACAGTCTTCTAAAATTCTGTCCTGCAAGTTATTACTAATAATTATAGATTATTTTCTCTAAGATGAAATAAGGCATTTCATACCTATATTCAATTAGCTTTACCTAGCTAACGGATTTTGTAAGCACTGCAGTTAAGATTTAACGTCTGTTCATGCTAGCTTCCAGTTACAAATTAAATGATCCGTTCTTCTGCTGTGTTTTTTTGTATATACATACGTGTGTGTATATATATGTGTTTGCATACATACATTACATAAATCTCTTTAATGAAGCAAGTGTCTTGTAAGTGTTGTTCGACAATGGAAGCAATCAGTTCTGTCTGCTAGGCTATAGTATAGGTTGGTTGGTCAGTCTAGCGGTAAGGTTAGGTACAGATGTCCAAGATAAAGCTGAAATATATTAAAAACATTTGCCCTGACAAATGAGACACTACATTTAATCTGCAAGTATGTTATGTATATTCCTGAACTATGAATGCTTGAAATCGTAATCTCTGTATTGCGCCATTTCCTCTCCCTTCTGACAAACCACTGTGCAGTGTAGTAAAGAAGGCAATTCTCTGCGATTTGCTTATACTCTGCTTCGATTCACTTTAGAAGACCGTTTTTTAAGTCTGTTCCCAGTAGTCTTTAGCAAACATTCAATTTTGTTTTTATTTTTAGACCAGTTAAATGTGTAACAGATGAGATAATGACATACAGATGGATTAAGTTGCAAAGCTAAGGCAAAACCTTTTTAGAAAAAATTGCTTTGTAGTATAAGCCAAAAATGGGCCTTCCCTAAACTCACAATTAGAATTGAGCTAATTAAGTTTCAGAAGTAGGCTAGTCTATTCCCCTTTCTGGATTTATTGAACCAGCTGTTCTTGTTCAAAGTAAAAGCTGCAGAGCTTGCTGCATGCTACAGTTTAAGCTTTATTTTAAAACTTTATGAATAAATTATTCTTCTATTTGTAATTTTAAAATTATTGGTTTGTTTAAACTATTGACTTACTGCAATTACAGTCTGAAACGATAAAAAAAATTAAAGTCTTTAGTTTGGAAGAGGTTTTATTTGGGGGAAAAGGATTCCTAAAGAGATGGTTCTTTTAGCTAGTAATTACTGTGTCACAAATGAAATGCTACACATGCAATATTTGGTCTTACTAATTAGCAGGTATAATCAATCTGCAATTAAGCAGTTATAGTTTGTAATATGTTTAGATATTTTGTCTGTTTTTGTTAGTGGTGAATGACTGACTTGAAATGTATATCTGGTTGACTTAAATCAAACTAATTGAGGTGAATACTGAATTCAGTTAAGAAACAGAAAAAACGTATTTTAAAATCTTATGTTTGTAAACTAAAACTAAGCAAATTATGCTGAATGGATGAGTTTACCAAAATAACGTATGTGTAAAACTGATTTAAACAAAAGTGTTGGATACACAGCTGAATGGATTTGTTTCTGGTTCCAATGTCAGTCATGGCACAAGAACTAGTCATCTTTCTTGCACAGTTTTTTTTTGTTCTTCAGTTAGAAAACATTTATGTACTTCTCTTAATACTATTAACAGGGTTTTTTCAAGTAACTTTAAACAGAATAAAATTAAATGGGGAGAAACGTATTCTCTCTGCGCCTGCAGGAAGTATTTCTATCAAATGTTGATTTGTTGTATTGGTGGACTTCAGAAGTAGCAACATCCCCCTGTACTCTGATCCTTAAACAGTCTCAATTCTATTTCTGTAGCTTCATTTATGAAGTAAAATATTCTTATAGTAAATATAGGTCTTTAAATTTGAAGTAGTGAGATGTATTAATAGATTTATTAGATGATATCCTGTAGACCTGGAAGACGGGGAGGCAGTGGAATTGCCAATAGACATATTCTGGATAGCATACAAGTATTCGGCAACTTTACTGTGTGAGATATGGCTACTGCAGCATTAAAATAAGACTTATCAACATGAGTTTAGATATAGATTTAGAAATGGTTTGGTAATATGACATACAAGAGAAGCATCAACCTGCTAAGTAATGAGAAGAATAGAAATAGAAGAAAGGTGGAGTTCTGTAACACAGCTGAGCTAAGACTTATCTTTGACAAATGTTTGGGAGGGTATCTAGTTAGCATACCTAAGATCACCTTTCCATTTTCTGTTTCTTGCAGGTTATACAGAGAATATTTTATACAGTAAATAGATCCTGGTCTGGGAAAATAACTTGTAACGAGCTCAGGAAAAGCAACTTTTTGCAGGTACATAATATCTAAAATATTGCAAGACAGATGTTTCTACACGTTTAAAAACTGCTTTAACTAAACGCTTAAGGGAGTAACATAAGTAGCATTTCTTCCTTTTCCAAAAACTAGTGAAGGCTCAATTGCATTAATTCTCATATACTAGAATATGTTTAAATGTCATCTTTTATCTAGCACTGTAGAAGTCTGGATGATCTCCTCATTCTTCTATGGACACATTAGTTTTCTACCTTGTGTGTTCAGTTTTTGCTGTCATGCTGCATGGTGTGCATTGTCTCTGCAGATAAAAAGTGTTCCACTGTAATAGTGTTAGATATTAACTTGGTTATGAGAACTCAGATCATTCAACAATGTCTGACAAATTCTTTAATGTGTTCTATTTATCCTTCTGATAATAGAATGTGGCATTATTGGAAGAGGAAGCTGATATTAACCAGCTGACAGAGTACTTCTCATATGAACACTTTTATGTTATCTATTGCAAATTTTGGGAGCTGGATACAGACCATGACCTCTATATTGATCGGAAGGATTTAGCTCGACATAATGATCATGGTATGACAAATGATGCACTTTTGTTTACATGTATTAAATGACCTGTAAACTTTCACCCAACGAAGTGGTTAACTGCCAAGGCCGGTGTTCATGAATCCGTTGGTGTAGCTGATCCTGCTGACTCAGTAAAATAGAGCAGGACAAGTAATGTGTGACGCTGCTTTGTGTCTAGCAATACCAAATTTGAGGAAAATTCTGAATTTCAATGCTGATCTTGGCAAAGAAGTAGAGGAGGGAATAAGTTTGTGTAGGCTTGATCTAAAAAGAAAAAATGATTTAAGTCTTGGTATGTTATAAATGGCTGCATTTGGCCGTTTTGGGTTGTTATCTTGGAAACAGTCCATTTTACTGATATTATTCAAGTAGCATGGCTCTTGTGGCAAGGCATGGAAAGAGTAGAAAAGAAAGGCAAACATACATTCAGGTACTTTGCTTATATTAAAGTTTTGTTAACTTAGCTGCAGTACATTTTGTTTTAATACTCTTTAGAAGATTTACATTTTCTGCATTCACAATATACAATGACTGTGATTCTGTAGTCTTGCACACTTAAATATTCTTGTATCTTGTATGGAATTGTTGGGGTTTTTTGGATGCTTTGTGTCCATTGTCATCTTAAAAGTATTCCCTTCGGGACTGGAAAGCTTACTTAAGCACAAAGTGATTATGGAATATTATCCCACATTAAAAAGAATAAACACAATTCTGATTCACTGCTTCTGAAAACTTGCCTACTGAAGTCTGACTACACTTTAGGACACTGAGGAAGGAAAGCTTCTTTCATTTGAGTGGTTGCTCTACTGAGTTAGTACACTATAGAAAGGAAGCAGTGCTGATATGATGCCACTTGCAATTTAGTTTTGCATCCATTAAACCATGGAATATTGATTAAAGCTTAACAGCTGCTGCTTAATGAGAACTACACTAAATAAGAGCATAAAATGGATATGATAACCCGACTTCTATTTTTTGCATGTCAAAATTAGATAATCTGGTTTCATCAATCCCTTCCTTTAATACTGTCACTGGTCTACAATCAGACTGGATCAAACACTTATATGTAGTAAAAAAATATTAAAGTATGTAGCTGTTGTTGAGGAGGTTGAACAACTTCAGTGTTTCCAAAGTAGGTAAGAAGCAGCAGCAGCATGTATGTCTGAAACAAATTGGCTCTCCTGCAGTTCTGGGGATAAATATTAAGTAGGGACTAGTGTCCCTACTAGAATAATACGCTGATAGCATCACCATGAGTACATACAACAGATGAACTATTTGAATGGTTAACCACCTGCTTTAATTACCAGTATTTCTACAGTGCTGAAAAAATATTTCAGAGCTAGAATAATGAGAAGTAATTTTTCTGTGAGAATAGTATCATGTGCTGCTTTGAGTACCATCCACAAATTCTTCAGGATAAACTGAATATCCTTTACAGAGGTAGTGCTCAGTTAAGACATGTCTCTAAAATCCCTGAAATGGTTTTAAAATAGAAGCATGGATCAGAACCATGTCAGAAATAGACCCATGTCAGAATCAGTTAGGTATGCTCATTATGTATGAATGTGCCAATTCTGTTTTGGCTCTTTGCCAAAACCAAGGTCATATAAAATGTAATGGCACTTGAAAACATGATTTACTTGTTAAAGAACTGGTAAATGCTGTCTTATTAATCAGCCAGTTTTATTACTTTTATTACACTACTATTTCTGTATCAAGTCTGAATTCAAAGCTGGTTGATTCTAGCTTTGCTTTGGAGACTTTGTGTTAAGTGATCCTCTCCAAGAGGACTCAAAGGGATTAATGAGCACTACACTTGATCTTTCTCTCAGATGTGTATATATAAGAGGGTTCCAGTAAACTCTTCAACTAGACAATACAGAGCAAAAATAACTTGTATGTAATTAACACTTTTTTAAACCTTTTTTCACAGCAATTTCAAATAGGATGATAGAGCGGATCTTCTCAGGAGCAGTAACAAGGTACTTATTTTGTTTGCTAATCTAAATCCAATTTAATATTTGCTTGTTAAATTGTGTGACATTCCCAGAAAAAATGCCTTACCCTTGAAATGGAGCAGTGTATGTCAAGATTTAGTATTGTAGTTTAAACTCCAGTAGTAGTAGAGTGCTCTTGGAACCTTTGGCTCAGTCCAAGTTCTTTATTCTCCTTTCTTTACTCATATGAACACTTGCCATTGGGTATTGTATGGTTTAACAGAGATGGGAATGAGGAAGGGAAGAAATGTTGGCATTGTTGTTTTTCCACCCCTGTAAAATTTTCAAAGGGAATTGGGCTTTCAGTACTACTTGTAAAATCAGTGCTTACTGCATCAACAAATCTACAAGCATGTCTCCAGTTGAGTTAATTCACATTTTTGACAGCATTCTTCTTTTTTTCCCACTTGGATTGACTTCCTCTTATGTATTTATGGCATTTTACTCATTTTTGAAACATTTTGCTAGCACGATATCTGCAACTAGAAAGTGACTGATAAACAGAAATAACAAAAGCTGAAATGAGTGAAATGACACTTGGCAGGCATATATCTAGAACTTGCTCCTTTATGTAAGTTTTTTGGGCAAGACAAAACATATACCATATTTTTCTAGACATCTTGAGGATAAAACAGCAAAAAATGGATTTTAGGAATGAAATGGAATGTGTCTCGGAACTGCCTACCTGAATTTTTACTAGACGGGTTGACCATGTGTCTTCAGGATGTATTTGGATGCTGTGTTCTGTGGTAGGAGAGTAGAAACAGACAATTATGTTCTTGCCATGAACACTTACTTCCTGAATGTTTTTATTTCATTTTTATCTTCATATTTCCATTCCAACACTTTTAGCTAGTGGAGTTCTGTACAGTTTTAAGTTCTCATCACTTCTACCTGAATAGAAATTCTAAAAAGCGTGTGTATTTGTATATAATGTATTTTTTTAAATGAATTCAGATATCTCTTCTGTTAACAATTAAGCAGTGGTATTGCTGCCCAGGAAGGAAAGCTGTAAGTCCTTCTGGACAGAGTGCTACTTTCCTCTCCCAGCTGCTCCTTTCTTCTTTACCCGTTGCAGCAGAAACAGAACAGAGCACACAAGCTCCTTATCCTGAATGATCAATGTGGTCTGTGACAAGTCACCTTGCAAACACCTCATCGTTTAGGAATAAATAAACAGTTAATAGCACCAAGGAAAATAATCCTTAATTTTGGTTAGTAAAAGCTAGGTGTTTTAAAATAAATTTTCTATCTTTTTTCCTCATTGGCCTTCAAGAGGTAGAAAAGCACAAAAAGATGGGAAAATTAGCTACGCTGACTTTGTCTGGTTTTTGATATCTGAAGAGGACAAGAAGACACCAACTAGGTAAGAATGAATTTATGTTTTAACAGAAATAAAGACTGACTTTATTGGTTTTCCAGTCCTTAAATGGGGACCACTGAGGCTCAACTGAAACTCTGATGGAAGAAGCTAAACTGTAAAAATATGAGTCGAAAACTGGCCCAGTTTGTTGCATCATTCTTATTTCCCAGCGTCTCCTATTGTTGCTGCTGTAAAAGTCTATTTTAATGATTTTTAAGAGGCTAATTAAATGTTAGTGTTCCATATGCTCTGTGTGGCCTATTTACAGACAGGGTCATAGATAAAGGAAACTGCAGTTGTTTCATGCCAGTGACTTCGGGAAACTGTACAGCTAGCATTAGCTGTAGGATGTTGATAAGAAACCTGTTGCGTGACGTGTCACTGGCTTGTTCAATATGGAAAAAGAACTTGAGTTTTGATGCACAATTCAATTTTCCATTGGCTCCCTTGAGTTTTTATGTAAAGCCACATGTTTTAGGCATCTCCTCCCTCACCCACGCGCAACTAACAAGTGTGCTTTCAAATGCAGTAATGTATGGCATAGAAAATACCAGAAACTCTTGCCACAGTAGGTGCTGTTTAGTGACTTCCTATGGAATGTAGTCTTAAGCCTAGTTTTGCATCTGAAAGTAGCGTAGCCTTTAAAACAGGCAATATAAATTCTTAAAATTGTGTAATAAGTTTGTGTAAACAGTTCTTTGCTATTAATTACTGAATTTCAGCATTGAATACTGGTTTCGCTGCATGGACCTTGATGGGGATGGTGCTTTGTCTATGTATGAATTGGAGTATTTTTATGAAGAACAGTGCCAAAAATTAGATAATATGGCCATAGAACCTTTGCCATTTGAGGACTGTTTGTGCCAGATGCTTGATCTCGTGAAGCCACAATATGAAGGTAATAAAATCCTTTTCCATCTGTAACTTTTGTTTCTCTGGATTAGGAGTTAGTGAACCCTTAAGAGCACTCAGTTGGTCATACAAAGAATATATGCCTTTAGGTTGTCTTTTCTCTAAAGTCTGGTAAGCTTATTAATTGAATGGCCTTCAAATGGCAGGCAGGCATTCATTTTCATACTAAAATTTTATATGCTGCTTTAAAATGCCTTGTAGGCTTTTATTTTGGGCTTGTAGCCATGTTTAGTCTTAAATGAAATATTGTCACTATCTGGCTGAGATGATGCTCTCCAGAAAAGCTCTTGATTGTGCTGTTCACTTGCCTCTTACCTGTTCCAGTACTCATTTGAGATTTCTTCAGAGGGAACAATTTATTTTAGGTTAGAAGCCTAAGCTGCCCTTAGGAAATTCATGTCAATGTCAAAGGGCTTAAAAATAACGGAATACTAAACTGTTCTTAGTTTTTGGCTATTTTCTGCATTCATTTGAACCTTCATAGACCTGCATTCTACCCTCCCGCATCTGACATATATGATCTTTAGCTAATGAAACTTGAGTTTACATTTTACACCTGAAAAAAACTTATGACGTGAGCATGATGCTCACTTCACATTTGCCCTTCTGTGTGGCTCAATACTAGAAATATTTTTGCATGCCTTGGTAAACATATTACTGTGGTGTTGAAGAGTGATATCTCGCATGTTCATAGCCTCTACCTCTATGCTGTTTCTGATATTTGTCTCACAAGTTGATAAAACTGTTGTAGCCATGATGGATTAGTCTTCAGGGATTTGTTGAACTCAACACAACTGAGGTCAACTTGTATCTAAACTTAATGTCTCAACACTTGACCGCAGTTAGCACTAATAACCCTTATTATGGCTATACCTTTTAACATGAATTTCAGTGTGTAAAAGGACTTGGCATACAGTCTGGTTGCTATTATTGTACATACTCGGCATTGCAATAAATTTACAACTTGCCTATTTGCTCTTGAAGTGTTTGATAGGAGTAGCAACCTCTATCGCATATACTGATGTTTGCTATTTTTTATGGTAAAAGAAAATTGTTGACCATCTTATTTAATGCTTTTGTTTATCAGATGTAATATTGTGCTAGTGTTTCACATTTAGACACTTCTAGATGAAGCACTGAGTTTTTCCTACTTGAATTTCAAGTGTCACTTCAGTTGAGTGTGTCAGTGGGTGGTTCTGTTTACCGTCTATAAAATTATGGTTAGAGAATCAGTTAATAATAAATAGTCTTGCTTATTGCCCACCTTCTTTCTAGGATGAAGAATATTTAAATAACAAGAAACTTAATTTTATTTTTAAAAGGCAATTGTCTTTTATTGAGACACAATTTTTTGCATGCTAAGGGAATTGAAATAGCTCAAAACTAGAACTTAAAGCTGCATATTCTTATTTAAACCAAGTTAATATGGATTTGCTAGGTGAAAACACATTTCTAAAGGCAGATGAAAAAAATTGTAAATGAAAAAGGATTTTAAGTATGGTTCGGCTGGAAGCTCAATCCTAGATATCAGTGGAATGAAGTGTTAGACCAACATTGTGTAACGCATGAGGGGTGGGGAGCGTTTAAGATGAGGTGAAGTAAGCTCAGAGGAAAGCATTTGTTACATGGTTGCCTACGATAGCCTCCCAAATGCAGGGGTTCCCTTCCAGTCTGGTACATTATGCTTCTGAAAGGCAGACATTTGCAATAATGTTTCTGTTCTGCATTTCAAGTGAAACAAGATTGATGTATCTGTTCTGTATCGTGAAGACGATAAAAGGAGACTGTGAAACACAACCAAGATGAGAGTTATTTAGGGCAATGAAAATGAAAGCCAATTGTGAAGGTTGATGGTTTTTTATAAAAACTGGGTGACGTTTAAAAGGTGGGTTAAGAAAAAAATTATTCTGTCGCTTTCCTATCCAAAAGCTAAAGGCGTAAAATGACATTTCACTTGGTAGATTTGAAACAAAAGAAGGCACTTTCATACATTTATGGCTAAACTGTGATACAGTTTGCTACAGGATGCTCTGCGTACCAAAAAGCAAATTCTTTCATTTGTGGAGACGTGAATTTAGTTTTCTCCATTTCATTCTTTTTTTGTTGGTCTTTGAGAGACAACGTAGGCATCTACATGAGTGTTAGGTGTCTAAGCTCCCGTTGCAATAAATGGAAATGGGAGAGCAAATCAACGAACCAAATATAGGTGTCTAACTTAAATTGGGAGCTTATATAACTAGGACTCAAATCAGTTGCTTGGTTGTGGAGAGTTGCTGCCACTTGAGATGGCCCAATACAACAGACATCTGTGTGGGTCTGACAGATATGACACAGGTGCCATGAGGGATCTGTGTCGTTCTGGAGCATCAGCTATAAGGCAGGCAGAATACATTAAGGCACTTCAAATGGCGACAGACAGAAGTGTGGCAACCATTTCCAAATGGGATTGAGATTTTGCTTCCCTCTGATGTCCTTGAGTTATACTTTGTTAGAGGCTGGGACAGCATGCTGAGGAAATACTGTTCTAAGTCTGGCTTTTATTGAACTCTTCCGTAACATCTGCAGTTGGCCCTTCTTCGATTGACAACAGAAGGCTGGCCATATTTAAGGTGAATCAATAAAGGGGAGTTTTAAGGATAGCCATCTGTCTTTCCTTGTACGTCTGTTATTTTTCAGTCTTTCTGCAGAAGCTTAATATTCAATTTTGAAATAAGGTAACGTTTCTGAGCAGCCTGACAAATACTTCTAACACTTAATGGATCCATTGATTTGAGTCATTAAAGTATTACTGTCCTGGTTTCGGCTGGGATAGGGTTAAATTTCTTGCTAGTGCTGTGTTTTGGATTTAGTATGAGGAGAATGTGAGCGGCTGAGTGGTTGGTTAAACCACGACAATCACTTTATAAAAAACAAACAAACAAAATGCCTTTGAGCACTTAGCTTTCCTCTCAAGCAGTAAATATTGATCAGGCTGGACAAGTGTGGCAAACTAGCGTCTACAAAAAATTCATTTGTATGAAGCACAGTCACACACTGTAATCTCTGTCATACGTTTGTCTGTTCAGTCAGGGAAGTCAGGGAAGAGAAAGGGCCACTGCCAGAGGAGATTCCTACCTGCTACCCAAGTACTTCTTGGGAAGAGATGGCTAGCTCACAGGAGACTTCTGTCTCTTGAGGAAGCTTAGACAATTAGCTTAAATGATTTTAAGTAGCTAAGTGAGGTAGACTGCATCTCACTCCAACATAATGAAGGACAGTAGGATGACAGCTAAAGCAAGTAACAAATCTGAAACATTTAAAAGTTTTTTGTCCGCTTTGAAGGACGCTTCTCTAGGTGTGCATTTCATCTATTCACTTCTCTCCCATTGCGTCGAGCATCAGTGACAAATGTTCTTGAGCATAATGATGACTTAACTTTTTAATAACGTTCCTCCTTTTTGGAGAGAGGATAATATCAGCTCTCAGATATCTTATCTCGTAATCTTCTTTACAGGAAAAATTACTCTGCATGATTTAAAGCGATGTAAGTTGACAAATGTGTTTTTTGATACTTTTTTCAACATTGAAAAATACCTTGACCACGAACAGAAGGATCAGTTTTCTATGTTGCGGGTGAGTATGAAGCTTTAAAAGTCTCTTTAGCTATGTGCTTAACAATTAATATGTTTTTGTATAACTTGCAATGTGATTGTTTAGGATGGTGAAGGTGAAAGCCAAGAGGTCTCTGACTGGGAGAAGTATGCTGCTGAAGAGTATGATATCTTGGTGGCAGAAGAGGCAGCGAGTGACCAGTGGAATGATGGGTAAGAAATGTAGCAGCAGAGTTGGTACGAATCCCCTCTAGTAATGTAGAGCCTCGCCATCGCTATTATCCTTAATGCTATTTTTGTAGAATGTTGCTGTTTGTCGTCTTTAGCCGTGTGCTCGGTGAGGGAGGAAGAACCTTGCTTATATCTTGAACAAAATATTCCTTGACAGTTTGTGATCACATTGGCTTTGTCAAAGAAAAGGTCCTACTCCAAATTTTGGGAGGAAAGAAGATTTGAAAAAGCTTCAACTCTAAACAAAATACAACATTAATTTTTTGTTAAATGAATGAAGAGCTTTATTAAGAGCTTTTGGGGGAAAAAATTCTCACTTCTGAACTCAAAATTATATCAGCTTGCAAGTATTTTCTCACAGTTCTGTAAAAGTAAATAAGATAAGAAATCTTGCTGTTTCAAAATCACTCCTTTACATTTGCTCTGTAGCTTCCAGAACCTCTTGGAATCCAAAGTCCCGAATTTGCCATTCATTGTTTTCATTATTTAAAAAGATAAGGAAAACAAGTACAAGTTTAACTTGTTTTAGGCCTTAAGTTGATGGACCTGTTTAGAGAAAACACATTTTCTTGCATTTCCTACATCAATATTCATTCCTGCATTTCCTACATCAAAGCTGCTCTCCACAGCTTCCTGAGGAGGGGTCGTGGAGAGGGAGGTGCTGAGCTCTTTTCCCTGGGACCCAGTGACAGGACACGTGGGAATGGTTCAAAGCTGCACCAGGGGAGGGTCAGACTTGACATTAGGAGGCATTTCTTTTCCGAGAGGGTGGTCAAAGACTGGAACAGGCTTCCTAGAGAGGTGATCGATGCCCCAAGCCTATCAGTGCTTAAGAGGCATTTGGACAATGGCCTTAACAATGCTTTAACTTCTGGTCAGCCCTGAAGTGGTCAGGCAGTTGGACTAGATGATCATTGTAGGTTCCTTCCAACTGAAATAGTCTAGTCTATTCTATTCTCTGATCTAGGAGCATCTCTGTGATTATTGTTTAGACTAAATTATTTTATTTTTATGTATTTCCCACTCCCCCCCAAGATGTCTGCTCTTGGTGAAGATAAAAGCTGCAAAATTCACAGCCAGTATTCTTGGGGTCAGATCATTTCTGTTCTTTTCCACAAAAAATATATTCAAGGTGTACCTGAAACCGTAGTTCTATGGCTTTACACAGAAAGTGGACAAAATGGAAACTAAAATACAAAATGTTTCTTAAGTTAAACTTTCAGATTATATTTAAAAATTTATCCTAAATTTTCACTCTTCAGTAAACTTCTAACAGGTCTTGGACACTTAGTTTTTCAGGTACTTCCATAAAGTTTGTTACCTCTCTGGTATAAGCACAGCCGTCTTTATATGTCCATGCAATTACAGCTTAAGTAATACAGAGAGTATTGTGGAACTTACGGTATGTAAAACAGAATCCTAATAAGCCTAAAACTTGAAAAAATGCACATTCACTGTGTAAATACTCTCCTTAAGGAAAACCAGTGTGTTATTGTAAGAATAGTGTAGTGGCATATGCTGAGATACAGAGGAGAGAAGATGTATGATGCTAAAACATCCAGGTTCTCATTTCTTTTGAGCCTGGTGTTTGTAAACTCAAGCGACTCTTTGGTTATAGGTTGCCTCTGCTTCTGGCATTAGCAGATAACCTGACAATTAAAGAAAAATACTGCATCCTATAGAAGCACAACGCACAAAATCATGCATTTTATTTAACTACTTTCTGTATCCCTAGTTGGGTTTGATGCACAGGCCATAGCTTAACTGTTGGGCTTCCACACAGATGGATAAAAGCTTTTATCCAAATGTTCCTGAAGTTTTGGCGCTTTGTTTCCTTGGAGTATAGATTGTAATGCTCATTGTCTCCATTAACTACTACTTCATAATTTTGACAAAGTGTTTCAAGTATCATATACACAATGATATGTAAGATGTATTTGGATCGACTAAATACAAACAAACAAGTATTACACTTTGTCTTACTGGTTTCTCCCTACCCTTATATCAGAAGCTTGTGAAGACTGTTGCATTTAAACTGCTGAATGGAGATTTTTTTTTTTTTTTAAATAAAGAGCAAAGTTAGGATGCCTCCCAAATTGTTTATCAAATAAGCAACTGAATCTATATTTTCATTTAGTTGCTCGCAACTAAATACTTAGAGAAGTATTCTGATCTGGCTCAGGGAGGCGTTGTCAAATCTGACTTAAAGTTTGAATGCTTTCTAAAAGTGAAGGTCAGCAAAAGTGTCTTCAAAACTTAATACCAAAGTAGGACTGTCCGAATCTTTTTTTTCTACAATTGTCCTGAAAAACGAAGCTTATTTTCTATTGCTGAAGCTGAGAGAAACACAAGACTACTAAAAGTTTCCTGGCTGCTTTTAGGAGAGTCCAGTGAACAGAAACATTAACAAAAACTTATTATGAGCATTTTAAGTTACTGTGTTGTGCAAAAGCCTTTCTTAAAATCACTTACTGTACTTAAAGGGTTGTAATGCCTGCCCGAACTGAAGTGACTGTTTGACAATCCAGTATGAATTTTTTTATTTGATTACCTCTATGGTAAATATTTTCCTGACATTCCTATTAAAACAGTTAATCTGAAAATTGGGAGTGGTACACTAGAAATCTAGAAATAGGCTGATTTCTTTACATTTACATGAGCTTTAGAAATGCCAGGAAGGGGGGAAAAAAAGGATTTTTGAGAGGTGTTGTAGCTTATGGTTATATTTTCATAAAAACCTCTGTGCTGGGAAGTAGCAGTAGACTTTCTAATACTGTGAGAAGTAATTCAATTTTAGTGCCCAGATGTGTAAAACTGGGAGAGCGTTTCTAAATTTCCTTTACTTAAATATCTTGGAAAGGAGTAAAAGTGATGTGAGGCCACCAGAGCTTTGGAAGAGAGTGGGATTTTCATTTGGTCCAATAATGTACATTATTAATGCTACAAATAGTATCTGAGATGTCCTCATGCTGCCATTTTTAATGACTGGAAAAGCTGCTGTCACCTCTCTGTATCACTCTGCAATAAACAAATCCAAAAGGTGCGTTCAAGATGTTTCTGTTTAAAAAAGGAAAGAAAAAATTTCTTCTCAAAAAGATGGAATTAATGGTGTAGAAAACTATGAATTACAGGTGTTTAAGCCAAAACTGTTGTTATGGTAGAATATGCATCTTTCTTCCAAATCCTTGTTTTCAAATGGGTAATTCAGTAAAGTAACTCTTAGGATGATTTTTGTTTCCTGTTCGAATCAGTGGTGAACTTGTGGGAGAAGCTCAAGGTATTCTCTTCACTGCCTAAGCACTGGTTGATGCTCACATAATTGAGGCTTTAATACCCCTGGGAAGAATGAAATAATAAAAAAAGGAAAGAAAACCAGGAACTATTTTTTACTCACTGCTAAATCTTTACCTTATGTTATCAAAGCATCTTTTATTTTGTTAGATTTCTTTTACTCAAAATGGTGGTGAAGCTGGCTTAGTATGTTTAATAGTTTATGAAGTGTTTCAACAGAATTGCATTCACAATTGAAAATGCTGTTCTTCCTCCCACCTCTGCTATTAATGCTACTCTATTTTAGTGTTCATAGTGGATTCTTAGTATTTAACTCTTCTCTGCCCTATGTCTTTCTCTGAAAGAATACTTCTAATCACTACATAATGCCATTATAAAGTCACATTTGAGGAACAGATACTGCAGTGTCTGAAGTTCATTCTTCGCCTAGTCTTGTTAAGTAGATGGAAGTGATCACGTGCTGAGGTGAGATTCAGTAGCACTTGGGAAGATGTGCGTGAACCTGAGTCAACCTAGCCCAGGAAATGGTCAGTTCTTTAGTCTGACATCGTAAGTGTCTACAGAGATTTATGTTTCACTTTTTTAAACGGCTATTAATTATAGATTGATCCCACCTAAACGGTGCTGAAGCAGATCTTTTTTAAATATCAGCCTTCACTGACTTGAGTTAGATAAGCATTACATTTCATTATCCATCTGTTCATTTTCATAATCAGCAGGAGATTTTCAGTAATTTCTCATTAAACAATTGGCTTTTGCTTTCTAGCATCTGCTTTAAATACACAGTTGGTTGCTACTGCTTCCTTGTGCTCATGTGCATTTTAGTAACACACTCAGTATTCTCTCTCTTTTGTTGTACCTGCTGCAGCTGTAGTTTGTTCTTCCTAACTCAGCCTAATTTCAGCTTTCTTGAAAAGAACTGGAAGGGTTTCTGTCAAGCACTTACGTCTTGCATTTGACCATTTCTAACTTACGAGTAGTCCACTAGCGCAGTATGTGCTTTAAATCCTTTCAGTAAAGCTGGGTATCTCGCTAATCAGTTCTGCAAGTGATGGGAAAGTAAGCTAGTTTAAATTTAAGTAATTATTCCAGAAATCTAGTGCTGCCTCTGGTTACATGTTTCTTTACTGTAAATATAAAATACTGGAAATTATGTTCTTCCTGCAGGTGCCACCTTAGTGTTCTGACACTTGGACATTTCCCAACATAGCGAGACTCTCTCATTTTCTTTTTTTTGCCTGCTCCTAGGTATGAAGCAGAACTGAGTCCTGTAGACCATCAGAAGGCCAGCGTCCTAAAGTATCAAATGGAAAAAAGGCCATTTTTTGAAATGCCTTCCCATCTGGCTGATGTAGACTTGGATGAATATGACTATGAAGAGGACTTTGAGTAGTGGTTACTTATGGTCAATACTTGCAGAAGAGAAGGGACAGTCTGCAGCAGGTCTGCTACACACCTCTGTGTTTTAGTGGGTTTTGTATCCAGGAAGACAGCTTAGTTTTGTGCTAAAAATATTTAATCACTATACTACCTTTTAAATAAAAGAAGCGCATTTGTATGGAATGAGGAAACTTTTTGTATTTATTCAATAGTCTATAGTTTGTAAAATAGATTAAATATTTATTTACAGATGTTGCATAATTCCTTTTTGGAAGAATAACAAATTTGACTTTAGAGAAAAGTAATCTGCTGTTTTTAAGATAATTGTATAATTCTCTCCGAGTTGATGTGTGGTGCACTGACCATCTCCATCCCATACATGATCAGGTGTTCCTGTCCTGGTACGGTAGGTAAGGAGACAATTTATACCTGGCCTGCGATGCTTACATGCTCATAGACAGCCCTAGGGTTTTTATGCCTTGGCAAGGAAGAGACATGACTGTGAGTGCATGATTCAGCTCTCATTTACAAATAGAGTTTCATTTGACAAGGTGAGCATATTAGCGCACAAGGAAAGCGAACGCCTGAGACAAGTTGCTTCTCTTCTCTGTGTAGTCCTTGTTTGCCCCAACTTTAATTCTGCTTGCCCTTTTAAACTTCAGTCTTTTCATTGATGTTCATTATAAAAAGATTATTTAATAATGAAGTCTGTTTTAGTGTTCATACTTGATCCAAAATGAGTGTGTTAATTCATGTAGAAGGAACCAATTTTTATAAAATCCTTTGTGTAAGTGGTACTTGATCAGTGATGTGCACTAATTTGTTGTGGGTATTCAGTGCTTTTGTCTGTCCCCCCCTTCAGTTGTTTGCTATTGACACATTCCATGGATATTCATCAGTGTCACAGCAGCTTGAAATTGTTGCCTCACTCTTACTGTTAAACAGATTTTGTTGGGGAAAAAAAATGTACAAAAAGATGTAAGTTATTTTTTCGGTTGCAGTGTAGATCTGTTAAAATGTTTTAAAATCATGTTTGTATTTTCAAATAAAGATTTTCATACATGTAATTTAACAGTTCTAATTATTATGTACTGCATACAAGTAACTTCCTACTGTTAAAGGACCAGTTAAGATACGATGGGTTACACATGTATGCAGTCTGGTTGGATAATTACACCAAGCTTCATATTCAAAGCAATCAAGCTCCAGCAGGTTTTTCTTCATCCAAAAGACAGTGTTGCTGAACAGCTGGAAGTGGCACAGAGAAATCAGTCCCACTCAACTCACCACACCACCTCATGAGGTAACTTATAAACCTCTGTATCTTAAGCAATGAAACTCATCACTAACATCTGTTAGTGAGCCTTACCAAGACAAACTCAAGTCATTTTAATACCATTCAAAGGATTTTTAAAAATAAAATCAGGGTTGATTATTCCAATTTTAATGGAAACTCATCAATGTCAAATTTCTCTAGTGTTGGTCACTACTTGCCTGTGGTTTGGGATTTTTAAGCAGTAAAGATACACAGAGGATTTATGTTGAGCTCTGTTCCCTACGGTGCTGTGGGAAAGGATGACCAACTGGCTTTCTAGAAGATGATCCTGAACTTCTGCTGTTCAAGGGGTAGTGACTTCTCCCTGACCTGAAACCCTTCAGCTGGAAGCCCTCTTCTTAAAAAGGGGGCTTGTAAATGGGCATGTACAAGGACTTTCTCATCACACAGTGACATTTCTCCATTAAAGAAACAGAGCTATGGTGCAGGGTAGATCTCTTCTGCAGAGCCTGTAGCTGTTGCTGCCGCTTTGTGTTTCATAAAGTGCCTCTTAAATCCTGCTCCCTTGCTAACCAAGTCCCTTTTTTTCTAGAGGATTTACACAGCTCTAGTAGAGCAAATCATGATGTTATTGTGGAAGTGACTTTTCTTGCAATACATGAACTATAACAATTGCTGTACCTTCCCCCAGAAGGATAATTCCCAGCTGTAGTCCTTCATTACAAGAATTAAAGCATCTGCACATCTGATGTGGTCCCAGGGATAACTGTTTTCTTGGTCCAAGTCCAGCTGTATTCTGCCTACCTGGTAAGTGTTTAGGCCTAGAGCCACAAATGTAGATGGATGAGGAAAACATCACTCTCACAGTCCAGGAACAGGGGAACTGAGAACAAGCTGATCTGGTTGACAATCAGCATTATCTTGTGGAGTGCTACCTATTCCCCAACTGCATACTTAACTATGCAAAATGAAACATAATGTTTTTACTATTTTTTTTTTCACTTCCATGTTTGTAGGAGCTCACTTCTCAGTCTATTTAATAACAGGGCAAACTACAAGGCCAGTAGCACTGCTGCTCTTCTTTCTCCAGACTTAGTGTGGGAATAGCACTTGCACTTTCAGTACTAACAGATAGCAATGGTTATGTAGTTTATTCTACATAGTTACAATCCAAAATATATATATATATGTATATATGAACAAAATAAAGCTGATGGGATTAATGCAGTGTACAATTCCATGGAGCAGTGACAACGGGTCAGCGAAAGCAGCCGCCATCCCCCAGCCTACTGCCTCTGAAACATACTTTGAGTGAAGAACATTTCCAAATTCTTAATGGAAAAACTTATTTTGAAGGGCCATATTTACAGTCTATTTACATTGTCTTTTCAGGCTTTATATTTTCCAAGTAAATGCCACATGATCACTGTGTATGAAGGATTTTTTCCAGAGGAAAATACTCAGCCAACTGGTCTGCTGTTCTTTCTTTGTTACTTAGAAGCCTTGATGCAAGTTTCCTGGGAACATGTCCTGATCCCCACAGACCACATCTCTGTAAGCACTGGAATTTAGAAATACTTTCAGACAATTTGATCCAGGTTTTCCATCTTACAGCCAGGAAACAGCACTGCCAAGTCACCTGCCATCACCCACCAGGTCACAGCATTCATAGCTGGGCCAGGCTCCTTTCTCCCCAGGGTCAGGTACAAGGAAACAAGTAGATCTCCATCTTGGTTACCTCAAATGGTAAAGAATACACCCAGCAGAACGCGGTGCCCGCGCTGATTTGAGCAAGCTTGTCTCATCTAGTTTAAAGAGTCTTTGACTCGATATTTGTCAATACCCTGATTCCAATCCTTAGGTTGGCAATTGTTCCAAGGCAGCATCAAGGACCAGGATGCAGTTGAGTAACGATGTTCATAACGCCCACCACCTTAGAAGTGCAACAGCCAAATCAGTTACACCATGAGCAGCAATGTGGAGAAACCAACTGCGGTGCTAGTAACTGGTTCTGGGTGGATGCCTACAGGCAGAGATTTGACTTGATCTGTATCTCCTGCTGCCTTGGTTGATGCCATCACAATCCCATTTTCAGTTAAACAATTTGCAGAAAAAAATGGTAGCTTGTTCTTCACTTCCATTTATCCTCTCAGCTTCTTAACTGTCCTATACCAGAAGAAAAAAAAAGATTAAGTCAGTCTCATACTATCAAGAAAACATCATATAAGAGCACATAAGGAATCAGAATAAAAGCGTAGCCTCTAACCATTTAGCAGCTTGGCCGTAGCTGGCTCTTGGAAAGCACTATATTTAGCTTCCACAAAAGGAAAGCAGCATTTCTAGACCACAAGGAGCCCAGAAAAGGCACCACAGGGAAAGGCCACGTACTAGATAAGTAGTGCATTTTCTGTATGGCTTCGATCTTGGTCCAAAGGTTTAAATTCTTTTATTATTTATCTTCAATAGGAGCTGCTCCAAGCATATGGTCCAAACAAATAGTCTGCATTTTAAAAGGCATACAACTGGAAGAAAAGGTGGAAGTCCCTTTTTCCCTCTAGTCCTCTTTAAAAAAAAAAAACAAAAACAAAAAAACAACCCACCACTCAAATATGAAAAGAAACCATTTGTTCAACTTTACAGGAAAAACTCAAAAATCAGACAAGGTCTTCGAATGTGGCTCTTAGATCCCATATAACCAGAGGCACTGGAAATCAAGGGGTTGCCTAAATCACTGCAAAAAAACTGTGTGCCAAACACTGGGTTTACATTCTATTAGAAGTTCAGAGAGCAGGGGGAAATACAGGAGAAACACCTGAAGGAACCGCTCAGCCCTTTGCAATGGCTGACACAGCAAACCCTTAGAGGACGGGAGGGATGTGAAAGGCTGCAGCACAGGAAGCCTCATAGCCTCTTTTTATTTTTTCCCCCCTTTCAGTACAGTCACTGCTGCAAGACGCCCCATGTACAAGAGCCTATTTGAGTCCTTGCACTCCGCTGTCCTAAAGGGCTAAAAGTCGTTCCCTGCTGCAAGTATCCATTCCAGGGCTAAGCTGAGACCCAGGCACACAGCTGCAGTTTTGCCAAACTATTATCTGATCCCAAAGGCAACTGGTGCCCACAAGACAACCCCCAAGCTATGCTGGCTGCCACTCCAAGCCCACAGCGTTCGCATGCTTCCCTTCAAATCCCCAGCTGGTTTGGGGACAATTTAATCTCCCCAACAGCCTTGACTGGAAAAGGGCAAGAAACAAGGGAGGATGCTCCAGCGAGAGCCCTGGACTGACCAGTGATCAGACACATTCCGAGTCTTTCGATCTAAGGAGCACAATGCAAACACCATATCTGAAGTAGACATTCCCTGCAGGCCATGCAGCAGTGCCATCTCTGCAATGTGTCAGTAACATGAAGCAACTGCAGCACATGGCTCTTAATCAAGGAGCTTCATGGTATGGGAAAAAGGGAAACCGGATCCTCCTCTTAATGCATCCTAGTTGGTGTTCAACGTACCTAAGGATGTCTAGATGCTACAATAAGAATTGCCTTAAAAATGCAGATCAAGTTGAAGAAGGAGACTACAGCTGCAGCTGGAAAGCGAAGAGGGCAGAACCCCAGGGGAGAAGCCCTTTTCTCAGCCTGAAAGGGGCCACAAAAGAGCAGCCCCTTTGCTGCTAGAAGGGTACTGATGAAATTCTGAACTCGCATTCACCCACCTCAACTACAGCTGTCCTCAGAGCTGGAAAAACTGAGCCAGAATTACCTGGTCTGCACCAACCACATCAACATCGACATCTTCAATTGTGTCTTCTGCTTGACCTTCCTCTGAGACATCTTCTGTCTTAATCTCATCTTTGCTGCAAAAAAGAAAAAAAACCTAAGTCTTGAGAAACTTTGTAACAGAGGTTGCACATTGCACAAGTGTGCTTAAGGCAAAGTAATTCATATATTAAGATCTGCTGCTGAGATAATCCGTGTAAGGTAGCCCAAAGTTTCTGGCCCAGTATTTCCCAGGTATGAAAGAGGTTATGCTCTGAGGAATTCCCCATAAAGCTGTTCAGAAACAAAACATTCATTTAAACATGTTTAATAAATTTTTGTTCTAGTTTACTTGTATTCACCAGGTCCATTCAACAAGTGTCCCAAAACCTGGAAAAGCATGCATCTTTCTCGGATTTGTGTTTCATCTTTTAACCTACCAATATGGGAAATGGCACCTAACAACCTCAATAAATGAACTGTATTAAAGGAAAATATCCCAATTGAGCACTTCAAGTCCTTTACAGAGCTCAAAAGTAGACTCCAGACTCCCTGTTTCTGCAATACCTCTCTTACATCCAAGTTCTGCAGGGTTTCACTCAGGCACGTGTGCATGCTGCACACACACGTGCACATCTCTAAAAGAAAGTCACCAGTTACACAGTAGTTAATAGCAGATCTGCCGAGACAAGAATCCTCTTTCATTTCCAGAGATGCAGAAAACACTCATCATCCGGCTGCAGCAAACAGCCAGGGAGTAACCAACACCACAGCCCTCTAATCAGGACAAGAGGCAAGAGAAGTGGGACGGGGAACCCTCCTCGTTCCTTGTCTTTTTCTCTGCACACTCAATATTAGCCCAAGAAGGCCTGGAAGCCCTGTGACCGCAGGGGACATTCAGGCTAAAGCAGCAAATGCAGATATTA